AACGGTTTGGTTCGGTTTGAGAGAAAAAAATCGTGGGCCCACGTGGACCCAAACCAACGACTTCGATTCAATTTGCAGATTCACGATTTTTTTGTGCAGCCCTAGAGTCGATGACTGCCTCTTTGATGGCTACCAGAGGTTTTAAAAGCAGACTCATCTCAACGGTGGTTGTCGGAGTAGGAACCAAGACTTTTTATCAAGCGGGTGGAGTGCGAAGCCAAATTTATCCAACTTGCCACATAGACTAGAACAAGTTCTCTCTGTTCTAGGTTCACTTATTTGATTTCTTCATTTTTCACCCAAATCTGGCCCATCCAAAGGGCCAAGAATCTTAAGAATGAGCTCACGTGTATGTGTTTTTAAATTACCAAGGCCGGTGTTTCTTGAATGTGTGATGAAGTACTGAAGTAAAGATTTCCTAGTGATTGGACCCCATGGGAGTGTGATTGTGCCAAACCCTTCAAACTGAAATTATCATCTTCTGTGTCTCGTGCTTCATATACTTCTTCTTCTTCAAATTCTTGATATTTGGGAACAAAGTTTGGTTTTTATATTTCTTGACACAATACTCAAGTCTTCAAAATGATACCAAATAAATCCATTGAAAAATTGTTTTTTCTCCATTTACATAAAATTACCGGTAGCTATCTATTGATGGGATTTTCTACTTCTTTGAATCCCAGAAAATGTTTCAAGAAATTTGCTTCACGTGCCTGATTTTTGAAATGTGATGCTGAAAAACTTCCTTTTTTCAAATAAGCTTGTTGCATCCATTTTTCATGGAAAAATATGGCCAATTTCTTCAACCTTTTTTTGTCGAAAATAGCCATTTTCATGGCTAAAACCATCGTTAGAAAATGCCCTTTTCAAGGAAAGTTTTCAAATGCTTCAGTAGCCATTTTTCTTCTTTTTTCTAGTTGCATGTCTTCATTTTTTGATAGAGAAACTACCCGAAAAAATTATTTTTCCCTCCTTACTTGGTTGCCGCTGTCTTTTCCACTTTTCAATGGAAAACTGCCCGAAAAATCATATTTTCATGGTGGCTTTTTGGTATGTAGTAGAACATGGTTAATGTGTCGTTTTTCATAGACGGTGCAAATATGTTGACCTCAAAAAATGAGGCAACAAAAATCCCTTCCACCTTCCCTCCACGTTGACATCACTTGCACACTGAAACACCCTGTTAGGAAGCAAAGGCTGCTGGTCGAGAAAGAAATCCGACGATCGTTTGAACTCCGACGATCAGGTCAACGGCCGGACAAGAAAAAAAAAGAGTGCAAGAGAGGGAGAGAGAATTTGGATATGGTTAGAAATCATACCTTATTGTGAATGAAACTCACACATATATATAGGAAAATGTAAATACGCCACGTAGGTAATGAGCCGAGCCCAAGATGCAAAATGTTTAATTTAATATGCCCAACCTAATGAATAGACGATGCTACATAATTTATAAGTGCAACAATTATCATATTTTATGATCTTGAGATCAAATTCTGCACTCACTCACACCCACAACATCAAGATTTTGGGGATCATGAATTTCAAATTTATCAATAGTAACCTATTCAATTTTGACGATTCTCAGAGCATCTCCATTGCAAAGTATGAATTAACGTCTAGGTGACATGGAAGTCGAAAAATTTAGTCTGTGTGGCATTAATGTTTAATAAATAGATGTTCCAGTTCCAAATTGATCTTTAATGTATTGTATGAATTGGCATATGTATATGTTTATTTTCTTAAGATACAAATAAAACAACGTCTACATCACATATACATACGAAATATAAATTCAAAAAAAAAATATTAATTTTGTTGAATCATTCCTCCGGCATCTGAAAATGATTTTAATGATTTAGAATGTGACCAACCTCTTGAGGGTTTTGATCTCATCGGAATCTAAGTGCGACATTCGCAGTTTTGTCGCTCTAATGTGGGCCCCACTAGGAATGCGGTTGCTTGTTGTGGCCTCCAGGTTGGATTTTTCTATCATATCATGACAATTATACATCAAATTTATGTATTACATAAATTAAATATTGCAAATCAAATACACATTTTAACTTACCTCGTGTTTAACATCCATTATATTAAAATTCTTTTTTCACAAATTCATTTTTAACCTTGCACACGATAAAATATTTTACACGTAAACTCAATTTTATTAACCATACATTCTACAAAAATACTATTCCAAAACTTAACTTTTTTCCCCCCCAAAAAAAAAAAAACTCATTGTAATGAATGTCAAACATGGACTTAGCGTGTAGAATATTTCACTCTAGGAAAATATATTCATACTTCTTTAATATAGTAAATTATAAATTACATAGCCCTTATTTCATAGAAAATAAAATTAAAATTTTAACTTAAGTCAAAATTAATAATTAATTTTAACGACATATATTATGGAATTCATAATTTTTCAACCACACATTTTATTAACGTTTATCATAATTTACTAAAAATATGATTTTATTCCTCAGTGCATAGTTTTTATTTAAGTTTGATAAAAATACATTTTTGTGGGTTTAATATGCTTTACCTTGATCTTATGTCTTAGGCTAATGGACTTTGTAACAAGAAGTCGATAATATTCTTTATTTTAGGTGCAAATCAATGTGTGCCGTACCCAAAATTCCTAAATCATTGTTTAGATGGACTAAATTATGAACAAGTCAAACCCTTTATGATTTTCCATTTATTTAAATAGTAAAAACATAGAAAAATAGGAAAAAAAATTAGGGTCCAATATTAGTATTTATTAAATTTAATTTTACAATTAGCCATTAAAATTATGGAAAATCTTAAGTTGGTCCTTAAATTTTTTATTTTTTACTATGCTTCCATTTCATTCGAGTGTCGACTCTTAAATGGTAACGTGGACAAATGAGACCTTAAATTGGATTGTATAATCAAAAATCGACAAAAGCTGATAGCAACGACTTCATTTTTTCATCAATTATAATCCGCTAATCGTTAAATCCAACTTCATCATTCCCGTGCACTGAAAAACATGACAAAATTGAAACAACGCCTAACTTGGAATAAACTGTCGCTTACTTTACCGTTGTCATTTGACAGCCGACCCATCAAACATGAAGCCAATGTTATATAACTGAGTGACCAATTAGAAAGGGCATAGATTTCGTCGAAAAGAAATTTTTAAAACTAACTTGAAACTTTTTAACAACTTCAATCACCAATTGTTAAATTAACACTATCTTTACTGAGTTCTATTACACGTGTGTGAAGAACCCAAAAAGAGACCAGGTTCAAACACAAACTGTGTCTCCAGAATTATTATTAATTGTAATTCCGTTTATTTCTCGCTGCTTTAAAGCTAATAAGTTAGATAATAATAATCCAGTATCAAGATTTCTGCTTCTGGGCCATCTCAATTTTCTCTGTTCGTAAGTGCTTCTGTTTCAATTTTTATTTTGTAAATTATGTGCGAATTTTAATCAATTTTTCCAAAGTTTTCTATATTCTTTTGATAATTTACTGATTCTACGTTTATACTAGTTTCTGACGAAAACTGGTGTTTTGTTTTAGTACTAAAAGTAACTTTCTTTGCTTTTCTCTCTCTTGTGTGTGTGTGTGTGTGTTTAATTGTATGGGATTTTGGGTAAAGTTTTTGAATTTACTATTGGTTTGATGATTTAGTTGATGGGTTTTTGGGATACTTCTGCTGGAAATTTTGTGAAATGAGGACTCCTTATTATCTTGGTGCAAAGTTCAATCTTGGAGAAGTATCTCTGTTTGATTTTCTGTGTGTGAGCGCTTTTGCCAGTATAATAAATTGTTCATGGGAAGATGATATCTAGGGTATGTTTAATGATTTATTTGAAGCGGTTTTGGGACACTATGATTGGAAATTTGGGTAAACGAGAACTGATAATTATTTTGATCATACAAAGATCGCCGTGAAGTGCGATTCTATTTATGAAGTTACAGTTTTAAAAATTAAAATACTAGAAATGCATGAAAATATTTCCCCGAAAAGTTTTCTTCTTGGTGCTAAGTTCTATCTTGGAGACGAATCTGTTATTAAATGGGGAATTTAAGTTCATCACTCCAAATTAAGACTTGAAAAAAACCTACTTCCATTTTCGTGTTTTGTAGATAAATATCAGTATGGTAAATAGTACTTCTATTTTTTTTTTGTCTCTACATTATGTTATTTTGAGGTTGATTGGTTGTTACTATGTTTTCTTCATAGTTCTTATGTTTTTGCATGCAATAAATCTCTTTAATTCCTGGAGATCTCTCTCTCTCTCTCTGTTTTTTTTTTGGTTAATTTAAGCATGCTGACCATCATTTTCCTTAAGCAAGTCCAATGAAGTTAATAGTTTGAACCCAGCTATTGTTTACAACGATTTTTGAGTGCTCAGCAGACCTATGTTCTTCTCTACAATTTTGTTTTATCATTTATGTCATATAAATGTAACTGTTAAGTATTTATATTGGAGATTTCCATAGCTAATAACTTGAAATTGTCAGTGCTCTTAATATCCATTTTTGTTGATATAATAATATCCTATTATTCCAATCATATATGAACCTTGTTTCCTTATTTTTGCGGATGAAAAATTTATTGAGGTATTGCCTTTTGGTTGGTGTGTCATGCCGTGTAGCTGTCTAATTTTCAAATTGTAGCTGCTGAGTGGCTTATGTGGATTGGGGGACCAGAACACATTCCTTTTGTTATTTAAATTTTATATTCCATTACGTCTTAAATTCAATAGTACTTATAGTTTATCTACGAGTAGTTCAAAGACATTTCCTCATCAATTATTCTGCATCGGAGTTAGCAAAATAGTAGTTAAAATAAAGCTTTTTATGCAAGTCCCATCTCCATGTGTATTTCTGCAGTTGGGTGGTGACTTCATATGCGAACTTGGACCGAGTGGAGCCCAGTGGCATCAAATAAATAGCCTAACATGGATTTAAAAGGTATAACCTGGGCTGAAAATATATACGAGAAGTTTGAAGCTATGTGTTCAGAGGTGGAAGAAGTTATGCACCAGGTAAAGCCTCCTTTTCCATCGTTTTAACCTTTCTATGTCACTCAAGTGCCTTTGCTGTAAATTATGTTTCTTTTTCCCCTTCATCTAAAGCTTAGCCTCTCCTTCTCAATGTACGTTTATTTGTTTTGTATGATATTTTGTTTCTCTTTTGTAATTGTTTACAAAAATTGAATAACGTTTTATAGTATGTTAAAACTAATAGCTAATTTCATACCATCTTTGTCCTATAAAACTAGGCTTGCTTTCCTTTTTCATCCTTCTCAAATTATAGGCACTTTACTTATTGAAAGTATAGATGACTTTTTAGTTTTCTAATGTGTCCCTATTTAATATGCCTTATTATCAACAAATATAAACTACTCATATTTAAACTATTATTTAATGTAGGGGCATATTAGGAAAAAATTAAAAAAATATATATTTTCAACTACATAAATTACATGTTTTTAATCTGTGTGAAAATAGGAACAGCTCTATCTTTGTGGAAAGGAGGGAGTAGTAAAATCTCCACGAGAGGATCTTGCACCTGTTTGAGCCCCATTTTTCAGAGAAATGTGTTTTGGAATAGTGATTTATTTATTATTATTATTATTATTATTTTTTGAATGTGTGATTAGAAAATAAGGAAAATTTTTTGGTTTATGTGTAAAATTATTTTATGGAATGATGTGTGGTTGAAAATGAGTTTTTAGAAAAATGGGGGCCAAACTTAGGCCTTATATCCCATTTCATCAAAGTCTTTATTTTAGCTAAAGAAACTAGTTGGATTGTTGTTCCTTTTTCTTATATTAAACAATTGCATTTAGTCATTGATTTATTGCTAAAATTGATCATGTTGGAAAATTACAGGATACTGTTAAGTATGTGGAAAATCAGGTGCAGAAAGTCGGTATCAGTGTTAAAAAGTTCTATGCAGAAATCATGCAAGATTTGATTCCTCCATCTGATGTAGATCCTGTGAAAGTAGCTGCTGGCGACTTGTCTCTTATCCCTCATGATCATTCGAATATGAATGAGGACCTGAAAGCTATGCTTGGAAATAGCGAGTTAATGAACGAATCAACTGAGGATAAGATGACTGCTGTCGAGGATATCGGAGAAAAAATGTCATTTAGACTTGGTAATGTAAATGATCTTTTACCACTATCTCCCGATGCTTCTGATAAAATTTCTTAGGGCCCGTTTGGTAGGCTTGTGCTTCTACTTTTTGTAGAAGAGCTTCCTTATGTACCTACTCTGAGCCAACCTTCGCAAAAAAAGTTATCAAATAGGTCTAAGAGCAGCTCTTAGTTTTAGAAACGGGCCCACAAAACAATTTCTATGAACGATCAGGCTCCATAAAAATCTATACTAACGACTCCTGTACAGGTGACAAGAGCGACCCATCCTCTCTGTGTAACTTGAATGAAAGTTGCATATCTCCATCTGATCACACAAACGTGACATTATCCGTAGATTCTGGTGAAAGCTGTAATTCTGTAGAAGCAGTGAATGCAAATGATTCTTCAATCGCTCTGGCGCCAGGTGAATCCCCCACTTCTAATGTAATTTTTTCAGTTGTTTGTGCCAGGCATAAGAAGTTTTTTTGGTAGTTATTTGTGTGTTTTACTTCTAGTTTTATTTCTTCTAATTCTGCTTTCCCTGTATAATAATTGTTCTTCTGCAGGTATGTTCCTGGATGTGGATGGTGGTGATGTTTCTCAACAAGGCTCAAACATAAGCAGAAATAAATGTGCTGTTAAATCTGATAATGAGGAGGTTATCATTTTTGGTGAAGGTATTTTTAAGATTGCTAGGATGAAAAGTATCTATTGTTGTCTTGTTGGTAGAAAAAAAAAAAAAAGGTGTTAAGCTGAATTTAAATGAAAAAAAAAACTTTAAGTTGTTGACTATCGGTCTAATTAGTTCAACCACTGCAGGAGATTACAATGAAAGAAAGCAGATAATTTTGAAAACACTCACCCCTCGGTTGGATAGAAAATGGATATTTATTTTCCAAATGTTGGAACTTGCAGTAACCTGTTGTATTAAGTGATCATAAATGTTGTAGGCTATGATCATGCTCGATCTTTCTCTGAGGAAATAAAAAAGGGAAAAAACCAAGATGGTCAAGGATGCACGTTCAGCCTTTAGTACATTCATGTGCAGTACATGAACTCAACTTTATTGTCTTGCCCAGATTTTACTAAGGTGCGCCATATTCTTTTTCCAAATCTTTACTGATGTATATTTCTGCAGGGGCTGAAGATAACTTTGATACTGACGTCATCCACAATGATCAATTCCTTGAGCTAAGAGCAGATAACATAAATCAAGATGAAAAATCAAAGTTGGAGGAATCGTGTGTCATGGTGGAAGGGGATATGCCCCCTTTTTTTCTTCAAGAAACTGCGAAACAGAAATCATACAAGGTTCTCTCTCTCTCTCTCTCTCTCTCTCTCTCTCTCTCTCTGTGTCTGTCTGTGTGTGAGTGTGTGTAGCGCGCGTAAGCGTGCTTGTTTATTATTTTGACCGCGTTTTTTTCTCAGAAAAAGATTCGAGGGGCCTTTATGTCAAAATTGAGGTCAAGGAAACAAGAGTATAACAAACTTCTTGTCCAATATGGAAATCGAGATGGAATGGAAGGAATCGAGATAGTGATTCCTGGTTCAAATATAGTCTCTGACAATGGGAAATTACAATGTCGTAATTTTTCTGATTCTGACTGGGAGCTTCTCTAGATTTACTTCTGCCATAAATTTATGTTTTCCTTCTACAATAACTAGTGACTTCAACCGTGCTGATGAGATGAAGATGCTGTTTTGAATGTGTCAATAATGGCAGCCAAATGAATCGAGAACGCAAAAATTACTTTAATTAGTGTCCAAACAAATCAATAACATATAATGCACATTAAAGCCCACATGTTAATGGTTCGTTCTTGGCCAATCTAATATTGGTGTTTTACATATATTTCTTTTTATACAACATACCAATGACTGATCTGTTTATTGTGATTTTCCATAAATTAACAGTTTTCATCGTATTTGAATAATTTCCATAACGTCCGAGGATTTGTATCTTTCTAGATACTTTGTGGATGCTATTTTTATCATTCTTTGAATGGGTTGAAATTTAGGATAGATACCCCAAATCACCAAAGAGTAGCCGTGTTCGAATGACAAAGTAGAATAGGCATGCAGATTAAGTGGCATACAACTTGATGGAGTTACTGGATCCTCTTGAACTGTTGTTTATGTCTGAGTTATTTCGTTCATATGATAGTGCTGTATTAATACCCAGGATTGCTACTCTTATCTAATTCAATCATCTTACCTTTGATAAGCTTGATTGGACAGTATTGAACAAGAATAATAAGTTAAAATATTGCCTATTATACTGTCTAATATTATCTAACAACTACTATGCTAATGCTTGTAAGGCGAATAAATTGACTTTAGAAATCACCAAAAAACTTCATGCAAATAATTAGTACTTGTCTCTGATCCTTCAAGGATCATAGATGCGTACAGTAACCTGTTCCATGTATCAGGTAGTCCTGGTAGGCACCAGTGGCTACAATCAGCAGTGACTTCTGGTGTCTTGAGTTTCGACTCGATTAGTTGTTTGTCTTTTCTTGTTGTATAAACTGTTGGATGGGCATCTATTCTATACTGGGAAAGCTTTGTAATGTTAAGATACCTTATCTGTGTTTTCATCCCCGTTACTGTTCGTTCCACAGTCTCTACGAGAGGCTTTGGAAATACTGGAACATATGAGGACTCGTCCTTGATGGGTTTTGTTTCATTGAAGCACCAATTCTCACCTTTATGTTCTGGTGAAATGCTTCTAAAAAACACTGTTGTTCTGGTTGAGTTTACATTTTTATCGACCCAATTTGCCCAGGTTTTCATTGCTATCTCAAACGCAGGTTCTATCTTTGTGTCGTCCATTAACTTCCTGTTATACTGCAAAACATCCCACCTGCACGTTTGTCTCAGCCTTAGCTTTAGCCTACGTGAAAATCTCGAGTTCTCATGGGACTGCTAGAAGAAGATAGAAGAAACAAACTTACGCTTTGAACTTTCCACGGTGAACCCACCAGTGGCCAGTATTGAATACCATAATGTCGGCGCCTTGCCATTGCCTAGACGAACCGTCAAGTTTATCGACCCTCAAAACTCTAGTGGTAGTTTCTTTGTTCGAGTGCAGTTGCACCAGAAATGGGCTCCAGTAAAACTCCACAGATATATTGTAATCCTGTAAATCGACAAACAGCTCAGGTTCAGCACAGCTAAATAAACGTCCATAGAAGAACCTTCAAGTTTAGGCTGACGTACCTTCGCTTTGAATACCTTGTAAGAGCCTTCTCGAAAATTAACGTGGGCTCTTGACGAAGGAATGGCCGAGTAGAGAAGGCAAACAAGAGACTCCCACTGGTTTCTGTTGAGAGAATCTCCAACGAGTATCACTCTTTTCCCTCTAAGCCTCTCTAACATGTCTATAGCATCAAACCTTCGAGGACAGAGATGAGGAAACCAAATCTTCATGTTACTTTTATTTTTAATCAGAACAAAACATAAACATTAAGATAAAAAGTTTACCTAGGAATTCGACAGTCATTAGCTTCCCAACTCCATTTCTCATACTCAAAGTCGGGCCTTCCATTCCTCCTGCAACTCACTTGATCGCTAAGAAACGGACATTTTGAGGAACGATACAATGGATTTCCCATTGGCTTGTAGACCCATCGTCCCTCAAACAAGTTGCACTTCCCCTTTTCATTATACGTCGATGGTTTCAACAGTTCAAGATTTTCGGATGTGAGGTAATTATTAGGGGTCAAGGCTAAGGTTAAAAAGGCATCGTGCAGATTCTGGAGATTTGTGAGGCGCAAAAGGATAATATTGAAGCAGATAATAAGACTTGTAAATGAACAAAGCTTCCATTTTCTATCAAAAATGGAGAGAGTTTCCATAGTACTACTGTATTATCTGTGCTAGTAATGGTATTGAGGGATTGGATTATTGAAGTTTAGATAGCACATGGAAATGGCTTTGAGGATTGAATTGTGATTGTTCGGTGATAGTTTGGATTGTATAGGGGGAACAACCAGTCAACTAAACTCATCTGAGTTGCTAGCTGCCATTGTTAATTGATCGTTGTCGCTCAGGAGATGAACGAACACTCTTGCTACCTACAATACTGGACCTTCCACCAATCATTCTACCTCTGTAGACTTGGAACCAAGCATGCGCTCAAACAGTTGTGCAGCCGCCAGCCAGCAACTTCAGAATATAGATTCATTTTTCGTACCTAATTCAGCCTCACAAGCCTTCGTGGGCTGGTGAGACATTTTCATATAGGAATATATTAGTTTTAGTTTGGATTTTGATTCAAAATAAAACTCAACCGAACCTATTTAATTTATTAAAAATGAATCTGAAAAGTCCGTAAGTATAAAAAAATGGAGTATGGCTAGAATCCAACAATGGGATAGTAAAATTAAATCGGATCATTTTATTATTTTGGAATCTTAAGTTTTTCACAAGCAGGGAACTGAGTAAAAATCAAACAAGGATTGATTTTGTTCATTAATTGAGAACTGACCAATTCTCTACAGTAGAACCAACTTACTACCATATTACCATCAGAATCTGAGGTAAATTCATTAATTTAGGCAACCTTTCTTGCCAAGATAATCAATAATACAATAAGTTATTTTGTGGCTCTAATCTCTTATCACCGATCTTCAGCCGATGGTAGCTGCGTAGAGCAGCTCGTTCCAAGTATCAGGCACGCCTGGAAGACACCAGTGGCTGCAATCGAGGCCTCTGTGGAAGCTGTAGTACGTGGGATGTGCATCCTTTCGATATTGTGAGAGTAAAGTAATGACGAGTAAATATACCGGTTTCTTGATTCTGCTTAGCACTTTGTTTACGACGACTGCAGAAAATGGTGTGGCTGCCGGGTACTTAAAGCTGGAGAACGGTAGTCGCTCTCCACTGCATGATTTCGATGGCTGGCTCCAATCCTTGCCCCTACAATTGTATTATAAAGTCGGCTACATGAATACTTTTTCACAACTCGATTTGGTTTATTGGAAGATCCAAAACAAAATAAATCTATAATCACCATAATTGACCATGTTAATTTTCATTTACCCCGCTTCTAACTAGCTGTAATTGAACCAGTTTTACCAACATAGATTTCTTTACATTTAAGAAAAACACGTTTTAACGAAGTATGAAGATCTTGTACTAACGAAGGTTAATACCACGTTAAATGAATAGATGTATATATGTCGTTCGTATTAACACACAACATAAGAAATATCATTTTTGGATATAAAATCTTTGATTTTCGACTCAAGAAATACATTCGTTGAAGGACCTAAACCAAGATAACCCTACCTCTTGAATAGTTACAAATTATCAAATTTGTTTTTTAGTTTATAGTTCTTAATATAGGTTTATCAAATTATATATCGAGCCATGTAACTCGTTGTTGTTAAACCTTTCATCATGGAAGTAAATCTATATTTATGGATAGTGAAGACTCTATACAATTGATATTTTGAACCCGCTTTAAGTTTATGTCTGTTATGTTAGAATGCCATCGTAGATTGTTATCAAACGCGTAATTTAGCATGAAATCGAGCTGAATATTACACTTCAGCAAGAAAATTAAACGCTTACTCGTAATGTGTGGGGGAAATTCCTTGGAAAAACACTTGGGTTTTTGAAAGATCAATATTTCGATTGATCCATCTTGCCCATGTGGTCAACCCTTTATAGTAAGCAATCAGACGGTTCATATCCTTGTACAGTTTGCCTCCATCTTCCATGTAATCCCATCTGCAATAAAATGCATTGAGTCCTTGGTCCAACAAGAGGTTATAGTTTTCTCAATTTATTTTCAAAATGTCAATCTTACGGTTTAGATCTTCCATTGTGAGTCCACCAATGCCAAGAATTGAAAATCAACATGTCCATTCCTCTCCATGCATACCCGTTTTGGATTGAGTCAAGCTTGAGAACCCGACCCACCTTTTGGCTCTCCAAGTCTACGAGGTACTGCGTGCGATATAATAGCAATTTCGTTCCATAATCCTGTTTAAAAATAATAGTAAGATTATTATGTTAAAGTGTTTTTTTTAAATTGAACTATGTTCTAATAATGTGTGGACCACTAAATGGCTATCCATACAATTGTAGACCAATGTTTGGCTGCCCATACAATAATAGACTTACAAAGCCTAGTCAAATTGGCCGGCCCTTGTTTTCCTAAACCCCACTTCTAAAAGATGTGCCTAGCTATGTAGTGGGGTATGTTCCGTTGTGAGGATAGAGGAGGACTCAATAATTACTCATTTGCGAAAAATGAGAAACTAAATTTTCTTTGATAGAAGTAAAAACTCATGTCAAGGAATGTGTAGAGCGACGTATGGAACATAGGATATATGCATCTAATTGATCATAATATTCGAGTTATGGCCCTTCAAACCTATTAATGTTTGTGCAAATACTTGGTAAATCATCACTTTTCACAAATAAGTGATGACGATATTTGAATTCATGATAAGTATTCTGATACGGCATTGAACTATCTTAATCAGTAGTTAAACCCTATTTTTTGCGCATTTTTTTTTTAATTTGAGTAATTATTAACATAATACTTTATGAACAATTACCTAAAATGATGATTACTTGATCTGGTTCTTGATTTTGTAATCAAGGTAATTCTAACTTTGTCATAATTATGTTTTACTGTAAGAATTTCAAGTGACACATCCCCACATAAAAAAGATCTATCACTACATGCCTTTAAGATGTAAAAGTTATAAAAGAATCTCTTTTTTTCACACAAAGTAAGTAAAAAAAAAAGGTAAATCAAAAACAATATATCCAAAAAATCTATAATTCATTAAAAATTTTAATAAAAGAATTTAAATAGTGTTGCCTCCTAAATGTTTTGAAAGTGTTTTTTGCCATTGGCAACTTTACAAAAGTGAATTTGTGGGCCTAAGTTTTTTTTACCTAAAAAAATAAAGAACATAGCCTGCCCATTTAAAGCATACTTTGAATGCCTATCTATTTTTATTTCCTCGAAGCTTTCCACTGACTAAAGTAAATTCTCAATTCCAATATTGGGTAGCCTTTAAAGTCAAAATTATTCTCCAAAACTTTTCATACCAACCTTATCAAAGTCATGTTTGGCAAGAGGATGTGGATCAATGGAACGACATCTCGTGCACAATGGTGGAGCCAGATACGGTCATCTGAAGTCACTTACCTCACATATTTTCTAATTTTAATTTTTGATACTTTTTTCCAAAATTTTAATTTTAATTATTCCTTTTTTCTCTCTCTCATAAAATATTTCACGACGCTTCAAAAATTATCGATTAATTTCTTGTTCCTCCCAAATTCAATATCCCACCAAAATCTAACATTCTCGCCGCAGCTCAGGTCTTCGGCACTGATGCTAGTCAAAATTTTCAGCATTGTAAACAAATATAAAAATTTGTTCCGTCAATATTATACGATATAGTGCTGTTTGATTTGACGTACCACAGAGGATGGATAAGGAACTAAGCCCTTGTTTGATTCTTATTTTTTTCAAAATACATTTTTCTCTCTTCTTTTTAATCACACATTTTCAATAAAATAATATTACACACAACCCAAGAAATTTTTTATCCTTTTTAGCCACATATTCTCCATCAATCTGTTATTCCAAAATACATTCTACACAAAAAATGAGGCTCAAATAGGTCCTAAGTATTAAAGTTCTACTCCGATTAATGTGTGTGACACAATAATTTTTGGGAGAGAAACTAGCAAAATTTGGATTCAATGAATTCACATTAAAAAATTTTACCATTCAAAAGCAGAAGGGACAAGGAGATACCATGAATGCACTATACAAACTCATCATTTTTTGCTAAATTTATCAAGAAAGGTAGTTGAAATTAAGTGGCCATGAATAGTTTGGCCAGATTGGAAATCTCCCCCAACCCCATAAAAGAAAGAGGGAAAAAATGCATGTAATTGGGTTAGTCACAGCTCGACTGACTATATTCCTCGTTTTTTTGTGACGATTCGACCTAAAGAAAATATTTTGCTTTCAAAAATAAATAAATATGGACTAAAAAACTTACATGGAATACAAGTTCAGCCAATCCTTCTCTTCTTATGAGCGTAGTCTTAGCCTTTGGAACCCATGAATGAATCATACAACTTAATGATTGCCACATGTTTAAACTCAGCGAGTCACCCACAAACATAATCTTCTTCCCTCTCCATTTCTCCAAAAATTTTACCCCATTAAACCTACAACACAAATATTTACTAAGTCGAGCCCAATCAAGTCGAGTCGAGTACACCTTAACAAATAAGTCAAGTCGAGTACACTCACCTTGGTAGGTTACACGAGAAGGGCTGCCATCTATACTTGAGGTACATTTTATCAGGTCTTTTGTACTTTCCACAGTTGAATTCATCTTCTATGAAGGGACAAGTGGAGAAATCGTAGAGAGGATAAGAGGCATCAAAAACCCATTTGCCTCTGAAAATGTTGCATCTGCCGGCGAGTTTTCCGGCGGCCGAGGTGGTGGCGTTGAAGTCAGCATTTGCTTGGCGTGAAAGCAAGAAAAGTAGTGAAAAAAACAGGGTTTTGTACACAAAGTCCATTTCTCGGACTTTGATCCAAGAAAAATTAGTGTTCTATGATGAGTGTGTCTCTGTGTGTGTCTATATATATACACATACATATATATATACACACACACACTTAATTTGTACTCATTAAAGCTACAAAAATGTTATCATTTTCATTGTAGATAAATTTTAGAAACATAAAATCTTTGATAACTCAAGGACACAATTGTAAATTTCGAAAAAGTAAGAAACTTTTGAAAAAATAATTGAAATTTTGAATTAAGAAATAAGAATTATTCATTAGCGTGGACTTTTCTTCATTCCAAACTTCAACTGAACATTTACGAAATTTCGAGCATTAATTTTTATTTTATGAAAATTAGTAAGTGATTATGTTAAATATCTCATTGCAAATCAAATATATAATATTGTGTCCCACCAAAAATATTTTTATGATTTTTTTTCCCCAAAAATTTGATTATTTGAAACATGGAATTGCCGACAGCTATCATGTCGGATATGTTACCGCACCATCATAACAATTTGTAACTTCTAGTCATCTTTTAAAATTAATATTTTCTCATGTTTTTAATAATTATTATACGCACGTGTAGGTTACAATATTTTTATTATTTTCAGTTTATAAAATTAGTAATTATGTTTTAATTTAAAGTAAACATTAACAAAGTTTCTTTCCTTATATCAGTCTTGACTTATTACTATATTAAAATAATAAACTAAACAAAAAAAATCCAAGTTTAGCAAAAATTATAATACCTTCGTGCCTTGAGTAGGTCAATAATCGAGCCTTGCCAATTGAGCCAAGACACTCGATTTTTATTTTAGGATCAATTACGTAGTCAAAAGTCGTCTCATTAAAAAAAAAAAAAAAACTCAAGAAATAATAGCCCCAAATTGGTTGACATGTTAGATGTTGTTTGGTGGGGATTAAAATTAAATTTTTAGTAAATTGTGATAGAAGTTTGAAATGTGTGGTTGAAAAATTGTGGGACCTATGAAAGATGTGGTTAATATTGATTGTTTGACTTTGACTCATATTAACATCTGATTTTAATCAGAAACAAATACTTAAAAATTTGTTAAGATATTATATAAATTTTCCTACCTAGAAATATTTCGAAACTCCAATATGATTTCACTAAAAAAAGTTGAAATGTTTCAACGATTTTAATAATGATAGGATATATGTAGGGCCTCCATTGTAATGAAGTTAATATGTACTCATTTGTCCACACAATCACAGTCCAAAACCACATAAAACCCTTGTAATGGGCGCTTTCAAGAAGGGCCCTAGACAAAGTTATTACTCTCTTTTAACACAAATTCAAATATTTTCTTGGATTAGCTACACAAATACTTTATTTAGCACTTGGTTAAGGCCTATCATTAAAGAGACATTTCTTGAGTTGCACTTCAAACATCTCTCAAGTGTGACTTTCTTTTTCTAATTATGATCAATTGCTAAAGAAAAACACAAACCATAGTCATTTTTAACGCACGCCTCAAAATTCCGTCACGATATGTAATTGTTGAATAAAAATCAAGACTTGCCTATACTGTAGAAAAAGAATGAGAGAGCTCAAAGAGACTTTGATGTTGATCGCACCAACAATAAGGGCAATCACGAAGAACACAAGGCTTCCTGTGAAATCCCAATTGCAATTCAAGACGAAACTCAAGTTTGTTTCAAAACCCTGCAACTAAAAATAAGTTCTTTTAAGTGCTAACACAAAAATAAACCGTAAAATAACATAATAAAATAATAAAAGAACCATGACCCAAAGAGGCCGTGGATGGTCATGCCCTTTCCTTGTTTTGCCTCTATCATTGTTCCATGAATGCCTCCACTACTCATCACACTTAGTTGAAATATGACAACAATTCCATCTTGTATTAATGGATTGGTTAAAAGAGGCATTGAAGAGGTCAAATTATGATTAAAGTGAAGCCGGGCAGAGAATGGGCGCTAGGCGCCTACCGGGATGAAAAATTGGATTTTGGACAGAGATTTAGCACTTAGGCCCCGTTTGGATGTGCTGCACTGCCGCTCGCCTATTACTCTCTTGGCACTCGTGCATCGCTCGCCGTCCGCTTGGTGCGAGCCTGGCCGCTCAAGCGCTGCATTATTCGGAGAAATTTTGTTTCCATTTTTCTTGCTTATTACATCTTTCCAATTAAAACATATTCTTTTGGGTTGTATAAATACTCCACGTGATTATGGCTTTGTAGAACATTAGAGACAAAGTTAGACAATATTATAAATACATATCTTTGTATTCTTTCTTCATATTATAGTGAATTCTCATTTTCTCTAACATATTTTCTTGTGTTCTTCATGCGTTGTGATCTTTATTTCATATTGTGCCATATAATTTCGTCATTAATTCCTAACAAGTGGTATCAGAGCTTAAGGTTTGATTTGTTCGAGATTTTGTCCTTGTGATGGTAATCATGAAGTATGATATTCCGCTTTTACATCTCACACTAGATTTTCGTTATGTCGAGTGAAAATGCAAGCAATAGTTGACTAGATAAATTTGAATGATACTTAGTTGAGATTTGACAAAATGTTAACAAAATTGGACTCTAGAGGAAAAGCAACGAAATGATCGCAAGACCCTGTCAGCAATTCACCTTAATCTTTTGAATCATATTCTTTAGAACATTTTGAAGGAGAAAACTGTTGTATTATGGTTAAAGTTGGAGCAATTATTCATGACGAAAAGTCTAACAAGCAAATTGCATTCGAAGTAGCGATTGTATTCTTATTGTATGACATAAAGGACATCTTTAAAAATCACCTTGCTGTTTCTAAAGAAATTGTCGATGATTTAGAAAGTTTAGAGGTTAAGTACGATGAAGAGAATTTGTAATTAATTTTGTTGTATTCGTTGCCCGCTTCATATATGTCATTTAGAGACAGGATATTATATAGTCGTGATACTATCACTATTGAAAAAGTATATGATACATTGTTTTCAAAGGAGAAAGTGAAGCATCTTATTGGATCTGAGGTTCAAGGAGATGGCCTTGTTGTTAATGATGATTATATAAAAGGCAAATCGAAGTCTAATTTCATCTATCAAATTTGTAAATATTGTAAAAAGAATGAACACATAAAGAATGGTTGCTATAAGTTACAGAATAAGGAAAAATTAGCTGCAAATTAGAAGGAAAAGTAACCAAAAACTTCAGGTGAAGTCGATATTGCAAAAAATTTCTACAGTGATGGAGAACTTTTAGTTATTTTTTATGGCGACTCTAAACTTAACGAGAGTTGGATTCTTCATATAGCTCATACTTCTCATATGCATCCCAATCGAAATTTGTTTCCAACAAATGAAACAGTTTCGAAATATGTGTGGTAATGGGTAATAATGCACCTTGTAAGATAGTTGGTATTTGAAGGATCAAAATTAAGATGTTTGATGGGACGATTAGAATAGTTTATGAGGTGAGACATGTCCCAAATTTGAAGAGAAATCTCATCTCGTTGAGTACCCTCGATTCAGAAGGGTACAAGTATACTGTTAAAGGTGGAGTCCTGAATGTTAATAAAGGTGAACAGTGTTGTGTTGCTACGACAGAGAATGTCCCAATTGTATGTATTGTAGGGTTCTATAAAAATTTTGGTTACCAATCAGCAGAAATTAGATATATTGGTGGATATTCAGTTTGGTACATTATCATTGGAGTTTGGTTTAAGGTCTATGTTGAAAAATACATCTCAGTCGAGTTGAGAAGTTACGGGTAATGCCACTTTGCTACCACTACCAACTGTGCCACAGTATTCAATTGCTAGAGACAGACTTGGAAAAGATATTAGGACTTCACAAAGGTACAAAGAAGCTGATTTAGTTGCTTATTCTTTAAATGACGTTGAAGGTGTTGAGTCTAACAAAAAATTCTCTGTAGAAGCAATTTGAAGTATTGATTCTGTTACAGGGTGTGCTTTTGCTCTGTTTGGTAATAATTGAGTTATTTATGATCTTATTGCTCGTGGTGATAATTCGAGTAACTTTGGCACCCTAGGTAATTCTGCTGAACAATGCTTGAATTCAGTTGATATTCAGTTATTGAGTTTGCCTTAGCTAGATTTTGTGGAAGTGGTGGAGATTTTTTCGGTTAAAGAATTTTTGTGGAGAATTTGTTGTTAGAGAGATCAATTTTGCCATTTGTAGTGGAATTTGTCTCTAGTTGAGATTTTTGAGATTTTATTCATTGTATTAGAATTTGTGTCAAGGTAGAAATTTGTTGAAGTATGACCCAAATTACATCTTGTATTAAAGGACTTGTTAAAAGAGGTGCTGAAGAGGTCAAAATATGATTAAAGTGAAATTGGGACAGAGCGCTTGGTCACTAACCAAGATGAAAATTAGATTTTGGACAGAGATTCAGCACTTAAGCGCCATTTGGAGGTGCTTTAGCGCCGCTCGCTTGGCATGAACTTGGACGCTTGAGTGCCGATATTATTCGGAAAAATTTTGTTTCTATTTTTTTGGCTCTTTTTTTTTTCCAACAAAAACACATTCGTTTGGATTGTATAAATAGTCCACGTGATTATGGCTTTTTAGAACATTAGAGACAAAGTTTGACAATTTTTAAAGACATTCCTTTGGATTCTTTGTCCATATTATAGTGAACTCTCTTTCTCTTACATATTCTCTTATGTTTTTCTAATGTTGTGATCTTTACTTCATATTGTGCCATATAATCTCGTCATTAATTTTTAACAGACTTGAAGAGTGATAAGAGGGGGAATATGCCCGGAGACCTGAAGCAACAACAAATTTGATTCCTTTTAGATGTATGAAAATGAGATAGAGTCAATCATAAAGTAACAAGAGCCTCCATTGTATTTATTCGCTACTCCATTAGACTTGAAGAATGATAAGAGCAGAAGTATGTGGCTCTAGAGATCTAAAGCATGATTAAATTTGATTCTTTTTAAACATATGAAAATAAGATATAGTCAATGATAAAGTAAAAAGAACTTTCACTGTATTTAACAA